AGATCAGCCCTTTCGGGGAGCTTTTCAGGTGGCTCTGAAAAGAGCCTTTGGAAGTGTAAAAAGCGGCCTTAGCCCAAAGCGTTTACTTCTTTTTGGCAGGGCGCTTCGCCTTGGAAGCCTTGGGCTTGGCTTTAGCTTGAGGCTTGAAGGATTTCGCCGGGCTCCTGGCCGCCTTCTTAGGCTTGGTCACTTTAACCCTCGGTGCCCCCTTGGCCGCAGCCGCCACCTTCCTGACTTTCTTGGCGGCGCTGGCCGGCTTCTTGGCGGCGGGCTTCTTGCTCTTGGCCGCCCCGGACGCGCCCTGCGGCTTCTTCTTGGCCACCTTGTCCTTGGTCTCCGCCGCCTGCTTCTTGTTGAGGCCCGGCTAGCTCAGTCGGTAGAGCATGAGACTCTTAATCTCAGGGTCGTGGGTTCGAGCCCCACGTTGGGCGCATTCTTATTTTTCCTTTTGTTGTTCAGTCTCACAGTCGAGCCCGACTCTTCGCGACTCCATGGACCCCTTTTCCTTTTGGACTTTAATAAAACCCACTATGGTTTCCTAATATGAAAGCTTACTGAAACAAAAAAAGGGGGGGGGCTTGTATGGCGGTAGATAGAGTTCTGTAAATTCAGAGAACAAGATAAATAAAAGAAAATTAGCTGCCATACACATGGAGCTAAAATGAAGGCATTAGATCTCCTCTGACTTCTAGCTGGCGTCTAGAATCCAGAATCCATTCGTTCAAATTGTCCCTTGAAGCACATTATGGAAAGTCCTGACCTGGAGTAGAGTAGGAAGAAAGATTCCATTTTTATTTTTAAGAACTCAGTGTTGGATTCTCTAATATTAGACATAGAGACAGCTTTGTCCAAGATTAAAGAATCCAACTCGAGTGAGTCGAGTCTAATAGTGGTTTCCAGAACATTTTCTATCTGTATAGCGTTTCTACTTCCATCTAACTTGGATGGGATTCTTAGGGGTTGCCTCCCGGACCCCCTCTCTGATTTCAAGTAGACAGGAGAAAACTTCCATGCTGTCTGCAATTACAGTTTTCGCTTGCAGAGCTGGCAAAAGGATGGGTGGATTGACGGATAAATTAGTTCTTCAGCCGTGGGAGCTGCGGTCATCAGGTGACCAGTCGTGATGATCTATGAGAATTCCATCCTTGGGTTTTCTTTCTTTCTCTCTTTCCAATTTATACCCCGCCAAGGCAGGCTCAGGGCGGCTTACAGAAAATAAAATACATAACAACAATCCAATTTAACATAAAGCATTTAAAAATAGCTCATTAAAACAGTACAATAGTATCCAAGTGGAAATATCAGGCAAGGCGCGAGGTGAGAAAAGGCGCAAGAGCAGAGCTAGCGTCCTGGGTTTGTAGCAGGTGCTGAAAACGAAGAAATTGGTGTGCAAAAAAAAAAAAGGCAGAGGGGCAAACATAGATTTAAGAGATGGAGGAAAGGAGGAAGAAGACAGAGTCTGTGATCACACAGTTAGATGAACCAGCTGAGAAGGCATGAAGGGGGGGGTAGAGAAAGAGAAGCTATACCAAAGGCTGCACAGAGGCCACCACCCCGGGGGTGGTGACAGAGCCTTTGCATTTAACAACACCCATTATCAGAGAAATGCAGCGTTGCACTAATTTGGGCGTGATCTCATTAGGGATGAGATGACTAAGCGGAACGGCTACTCAAAGATTTTGGGGAGGTGCCAAAACAAGGCCTTCCAAACGAAATTCAAGCTCGCTGTCTCTTGGCGAGGTCAAATGGAATAGGAATAAATAGGAGAGAAAAGGAGGTTTAGTAAAGGGCTCTTGTGGGTCATGAGTTCACTCTTCAACTCGCAGTCTTTTATCCCAGGAACTGTCTCCATGTCAGTCTTGTTGAGCGGGTTTTGCCCCAGCCTTTTCTCCTGACTATTTGGATATCCAGGATAAAATCTTGGTCACTTTCTACTTTGTTTATTTATTTATTATTTTCAATTTGTATCCCGCCTTGCCAGTGCAGACTGTGACCAATACATGTTGTTTTATAATGGTTTACAATCTATTATGGACAATGCTAACTCGGCGCTATTAAATCACAGCAAGTGGGATTGTTCCAAGGGAGCAGATCAGGAGACAAGAATGGAAACTCCTCTTCGGCCACTTTACGAACTTGGTTTATTTCTCATCAGATTTTCCTTCTGGTCCAGGTATTTTTAAAGCTGATGTTGATGTGTTGGACAGCAAGTTACAGTCATTATGCATATGATTGATTCTTCAGTTCTGAAGAAGGGTAGTCTAATTACGCTGCACATAAGAAATGCTTGGAAGCTGAAACTGCAGAAGTTTCTGAATATTTAAACTCTTAATTTGCATGGAATTTTCTAAAAAGTTATTGGAAACAGGATCCCTTCAGACCGGCAAATAGCCATTCCCAAATTGTATAGGGTAAGTTAAAAAAAAGTACATCTGGGGACAGCACGTGTGACTATTTTATACCAAAAGGTAAAGGAATGGTTTTCATTGAATTTGCTAGGTAGTCAGGGGGGCAGAAAATTATGCGTCCCTGGGTGGGCTTGAACCACCAACCTTTCGGTTAACAGCCGAACGCGCTAACCGATTGCGCCACAGAGACCTCCGTATAACTGCTTTTTAAACAAACAAATCAAAACAATAATTTCCACCGTATCTATTCGTTGTCTTTCCTTTTTTTCCTCATAAACATTGCTTTATCCGTTTTCAAACTGTGGCAAAGAATACAGAAGGGAAAAAAAGACTATTTAAATCAATATACTAAGGTTGGATAAAGGTACTTTAAGGTACATTTAGCGATCTGGCACATTTTAAGCAATATTCTTCCTTACATCCCGTGGGCATACATTATACAAGAGGTCACGAGATGATAGATCAAGATATTTGTACCTAAGAATTACAAAACGGATTATATTATGTCCAATTTTGGAGTACCAGATTATCGTGTGCTCCTAATAAAAACATCGGAATGAGAGATTTCAAAAATAGACTGGCAGCGGTGGGATTCGAACCCACGCCTCCGAAGAGACTGGAGCCTTAATCCAGCGCCTTAGACCGCTCGGCCACGCTACCACCTCGTGAAAACTTTGTCAACTTTTTGTCAATTGATTCTTTTTAATAAGTACTCTAGAAAACAGATGGAACAACAATCAGGATTGTATTTTCAGGTCTTATTCCCAATTAAAGCCGCTACTGAAATACAAGGCCCAGGCCAACCCGATCTGGTCAGATCTCTGAAGCTAAGCAGGGTTGAGCCTGGTTAGTATTCGGATGTGAACCTATATATCTAAAGGAAGGCAATGGCTAAACCACCTCGGAATAACTCTTGCCTTGAAAACCCTGTAAAGGACAGCAGTTGGAGGACAAATAGGGGTGCTGGAAAAAAAAAAAGGACGGGGAACGACAGGGAAATTACGTCACTCGAGCGGGAAATTCAAATTCGGAAGCGCAAAAGGAACCTTTCCTGGCCTCAGCCAATCAGGAGAGGGAAGGTTGCCTATAAATACGCGGCGTGTCTACAGAAGGGCTCGCTAGGTCGTCCTTTGTTCAGGAGAGTGGTTCGAGCAGTTCCTAGGAGAGAGGAAGGAAATGGCCCGCACGAAGCAGACGGCGCGCAAGTCGACGGGCGGGAAGGCGCCTCGCAAGCAGCTGGCCACCAAGGCGGCCCGCAAGAGCGCGCCGGCCACGGGCGGCGTGAAGAAGCCGCACCGCTACCGCCCGGGCACCGTGGCCCTGCGCGAGATCCGGCGCTACCAGAAGTCGACGGAGCTGCTGATCCGCAAGCTGCCCTTCCAGCGCCTGGTGCGCGAGATCGCGCAGGACTTCAAGACCGACCTGCGCTTCCAGAGCTCGGCCGTCATGGCCCTGCAGGAGGCCAGCGAGGCCTACCTGGTGGGGCTCTTCGAGGACACCAACCTGTGCGCCATCCACGCCAAGCGCGTCACCATCATGCCCAAGGACATCCAGCTGGCCCGCCGCATCCGTGGGGAGAGGGCTTAAAGTCGCTGGGCGCCATTACAGTGGTCTCCCCTCCCACTCTCCATAATCCCAAAGGCTCTTTTAAGAGCCACTACTTCTGTCCCTGAAATGGCTGAAATTTCAGATTCTTTGTTCATTTGTGTTTTTCACAATAGTCCTGCGAGACAGGACACACTCAGTTGAAATTAACCTTCGGGTGGGGGGGGGGGGGGGTGTTGCCATTAAGTATTTGCAAAGGGTGAATATTGTATTTCTGCCCTTATACAAAGAGTGACTACAAATTTTAACACATGAAATAGTGAAAGCAGAAATTCAAAGCTAAACTGTTAAGTTAGAACTTCCGGGAGGGGGGGGGGTATTTTCTATCTTTACATGGAGCAAAAAGCTTTGTGAATCAACACTTCACTCCCGAGGGGATGCATGAAACACTTCAATATGCTATTGATTAGAAAGAGCTAAGCTTTAGAGGGAGACTCCAGGGCTAAAACAATTTGTAGATTTGGGCTCCATGAAGGCGCATCTACACATAAAAGAATTTCCTGAAATTGCTTGTTCATCTTGCTTTCAGCGATCTCTGTAGGAGTGGTCCACGCCCACTTTGATGAGATTTACCCTTCATTAGGCGTTGGCTATTTTTAAAACTGTGGCTCCCAAATGATGATTAACCCTTCTTGCCGCCCCCCCCCCAAATTTCTGGCGCTTTTTTTTCTACGCCCAAAGGAGAAGGGGGGATCTATTTCAAAAAATTGTACTAGATTTTATCTATAAGAAAACTCAAAACAAAGCAGTGGTATCACTCTAGGAGTGAACCACTGGAAAACATACCAACAATCCTTTAGACTATATTACAAAGTGGAACATTATTAAAGCTTTATAAATGCCGCAAATAATCTAAGAATCTCTTCTAAAAAAAGAGAATCCTCTCCAAATTAAGTAGTTAGCTATACTGGACTGACTTTTAAGTGCACAGCTCTTTTAGAGAAAAGATGGGTGGCTCTTAAAAGAGCCTTTGGGTATTCTGGGAAGGGGGGCCCGGAGCCCGAGTTACTTGGAGCTGGTGTACTTGGTGACGGCCTTGGTGCCCTCGGAGACGGCGTGCTTGGCCAGCTCCCCGGGCAGGAGGAGGCGCACGGCCGTCTGGATCTCGCGGGAGGTGATGGTGGAGCGCTTGTTGTAGTGGGCCAGGCGGGAGGCCTCGGCGGCGATGCGCTCGAAGATGTCGTTCACGAAGGAGTTCATGATGCTCATGGCCTTGGACGAGATGCCCGTGTCCGGGTGGACCTGCTTCAGCACCTTGTACACGTAGATGGAGTAGCTCTCCTTGCGGCTCTTCTTCCGCTTCTTGTCCCCCTTCTTCTGCGTCTTGGTGATCGCCTTCTTGGAGCCCTTCTTCGGGGCCGGCGCGGACTTGGCTGGCTCCGGCATATTCAAACAACCGCTCTGCTAACACTGACTGAGAAAGACAGGCAATGAAGACCGGCCGCCGGCGCCTTGTATTTATAGGAGCTACTATGCAAAAGAAGGCTTCGAGCACTCGCTTGCTTATTGGCTGTCCGGAGAAGTGACGTCCCCAGCGAAGCGAATATGTAAATGAGCGGATTCAAATAGTACGTTTCTATTGGTCAGAAGGATGTCTCCTTCTCATTGGTTTAGAAATCACCTCAGGTTGGCTACGAGGACTTTTATTGGACATCGAGGAACAATTTTATCACTGACCAATCAAAATCATTTATTTCAATCCCCAGGCTAAAATGATGGGGAAATGTGTGGGTCTTTTCGGAAATGATAGCGAAGCTATCGCGTAATTACTGAATTGCAGACCAACTAAAGCTACAAGCGTACATAGACTTGCTGAAGAGACGGTCTCATTAAGTAGGGACCTAGTTTTCGAGTTTCACGGAAGTCTTTCTCAGCCCCCCCAACCCCTACCGTTTCCTTAATTCACTAAAGGTAAAGGTTCCCTTGCTCGAAAGCCAGTCGAATCCGACTCTAGGGTTGTGGTGCTCATCTCCGTTTCAAAGCCGAAGAGCCAGCGCTGTCCGAAGACGTTTCTGTGGTCCTGTGGCCGGCGTGACTAAACACCAAGGCGCACAGAACGCTGTTACCTTCCCAATGAAGTGGTACCTATTTATCTACTTGCAATTTCTTGCTTTCGAACTGCTAGGTTAGCAGTTTAATTCACTAAACTCGTTGCTAATTAAACTATCTGCATCGATCGAGAGGAGATTTCATCAGACCACATCTGAACAATTAAAGGCTGCTCAGCCTTTGATAACCAGCCATCATCCGAGTATGTCTAAAGAGTACCCACTGGTCCCTTGTTAAGGCAGAGCCCAGAAGAGGTCTGGAATGGAGTCCAACCCCAATTCAGAGGCTATAACAGAATTTAGTCCGCCATAAATTTTCATAGTGGAATAAACGTGGTTGGTCTCCTGTTTTATGTTGCAACAACAGACTAACAAAACTACCCATCTGGAATTAAGGTGATAGCAGATCTGATGGTATGTAATACAATACACTGAAAAAGGATGGAGAGAAGTCCCTGTGAGACCCCTTAAAAGTCCACATAATACCCCTTTGGTGTAGTGGTTAGAAGCGCAGACTCTAATCTGGGAGGACAGGGTTTGATTCCCCACTCCTCCACATGCAGCTGCTGGCCTGACCTTGGGTCAGGCAAAAGTTCTCTGAGAGCTGTTCTCTCAAGAGCAGTTCTTGAGAGAGCTCTCTCAGTGAAGGGCGGGGTATAAATCCAATCTCTCTTTCTCTCTCCTTATTAAGGCCAATAAAACAGGCCAGCGTTTTGAGTTTTCCAGAACGATTCACTAGGTTGTATAGCTAAAAAAACTGGTCTCCAGATCATGGCCTGAAACATCAATATTCCCTAGTCCTCCATTCATTCTTTTAACATCCAGCCTGAAGCAGTGCTCCAGAGAAAATTGGCACCCTGGCTTGTGTCAAACCTGCTTTCTCTGGTTCAAGTGCTACCAGTTAAGATCTGGGAGCAGAAAACAAGAGGGGAGGTGAAGACTTATACCTGCCCATTTGCTTTTTCCCACAAAAATTATAGTTACTGGGAGTCAGAGCCTCATTAGGCAGCTGGACCCTGGAGTAAACCACAGCTGAAATGTATTCTATTTACCAGATTTGTATCCTGCCTTACTGCCCTTATGAGGGCCACTGAAAAGTATGCAAACGGAGAGTGATTTCAGCAAAGCATACTTTATTCTATCCGGAACAAGACAACTTTGGCCGGCTCGCAGGCCGGCTTATATCCCCCTGAGAAACCGCCACCCAAAACACATCCCTACTTCCCTATAGGTTATTTACAGTGGCCAAGAGTCCCATAGACTCTCGGCCAGGAACCTAGCCCCCTGATTGGAGCGGGCTAGGATCCGCATAGTCCATTGTCTCTTGGAGCGAAGCTCGACGTTTGTCTCTGGGATTGTCTGGACTTGTCTGGACTGGATACATTACAGCCACCAAGGCGGCTAATGAATTAAAACACATTTTAACGCCATTGAAATCAAACCCCTTCCATCCACATCCTTAAACAAATTAAAATCAAGAGTTAATATGCAGAAAACCTTAAAAACAGCAGCTATAGCATTGATTAGGAGGGAGGGATCATTGAGGGAATGCCACATGAAACCACTCGCTGGCAGAAGAAGACAACAGGAGGAGGCCGGCAAATCTCCCTGGGGAGAGAGTTCCAGAGTTCTAGTGCCACGACCGAGAATACCCTTCTCCTGGGTTGCCTCAGAGGGCCTCCAGAGATGACCGTAGTGGTCGGGCAGGTTAACATAAGAACTTAAGAGAAGCCAATGCTGGATCAGGCCAGTGGCCCATCCTGTCCAACACTCAGTGTCACACAGTGGGCAAGAATACCTGGTGCCATCAGGAGATCCGGCAGTGGGGCCAGGACACCAGAAGCCCTCCTACTGTTGCCCCCCCCCCCAAGCACCAAGAATACAGAGCATCCCTGGCCCCAGAGCACCACTTGTTGCATAAAACAATTACTAATTGGTAGTTTTCCTGAGGTAGCTTTATTGCATCCCTTGCCCCAGACCGAGAGTTCCTATCTATCTCGTGGCTAATAGTCACTAAGAACTCAAGAACATAAGAGAAGCCAATGTTGGATCAGGCCAAAGGCCCATCCAGTCCAACACTCTGTGTGTCACACAGTGGCCAAAAATACCAGGGGCCATCAGGAGGTCCAGCAGTAGGGCCAGGACACTAGGTGCCCTCCCACTGTTGCCCGTTCATAAGGGCTTGTCTGGGGGACCCTGCCCAGAGACTTAAATATATATATATATCATTTCCCATCTATCTGCAGGGCGGAGGACAGAAGCAAGCTCCAGGGCAGATGCATTACTGCCTAATGTTGTGTTCTGATTAAGATCTATGCTGTGTTGCTGCCCAAGGAGACTAATTCTGGGAGATCTCCAGGTAACACCTGGAAGTTGGCAGCCAGAGGGAGGCCACATATCTAGCCAGGCTGGCAGGCTAAGGGCTGGGCTGGTGAATACCCACAATTCCCCCTGGGTCGAAGGAAGGCTCTTCAGATCAGCTGATTACATCGTCCAAGGCCAAAGGCTGACCCTGGAAAGCCATGAAAACTGGTCAAGGCTTAAGGGGCAGGAAGCACATTTTTGCAGCCCAGTGCAGAGTTCTGTAGAAGTCAAAAACTCACTCACTGTTATGTGTCTCTTGGCTGGTCCTGATGATAATGTTCCGAGTGTTACACAAATCTGTGTCCCGTGCGCACCTGGGCCCAATGGAAGACACGCAGGCAAAGTCCAATGAGTTGGATTTTCTAACTATTTATTGCAGTGACAGGAGATGCAGTACATCGTGTCTAAACACCCATTTTCCCAACCTGCTCTCTGCCAAAATCAGGAAGGGTAGAGGGTCTTATACCCAAAATCATACAGGTTTACGATCCATAAAAAACATTATTGAGCACAGGTACATTGGCATGATATGACCTGTCACC